AAATTGTCTTCTTAGGAACATCATTCATGGCAGTGATTCAGTAAAAAGTGCTGAGAAAGAAATCAGCCTATGGTTTAAGCCTGAAGAATTGGTGAACTATAAGTCCTGTGCCTTTGACTGGATCTATGAATAAGAGGTGGACAAAGTCCTCCCGTGTACTGCTGGAGTGATCCTGAACACAGCTCTTCATTTTGACTTGGAAGCAATAGGGCCTGTTTTCTAAGGCTTATTTACCAATAAAGCTTTTGGAAACTGGGTGCAGCCTCCTGTGCTTATTTGACTCTAAACTGGGAGTGACGTGGTTCTCTAGCTCCACAGCATTCCAGAAGTAACTCATCCTGATTACTACAGACAACTGGGCTGACCCTTCTCCCTTCCCAGGCGTACTTAAAACTCTGAGGAGGAAGAGCAGTGAGGCTGAGGGACAAGTGTGGCAATGGCTGTGTACCTCAGAAGACTAGGAAGGAAAGAATGGATACAATTATCACACCTGCTTTAGCTGATACTGTAATGTGCATTTCTGTATAAAAAATGTGCTAGAACTTGTTAGAGAACTAAGATTAGTCAGGTTGTCCAGTTACATTGTTGAGTAAAATCTGGGCATGCTACCTAGAAGGAAAAGAAGCCTAAAGCCATCAGTAAAGTGAGTGTCGTATCACTGCAGTGCAGGATTATATAAAGTAATGTACACAAAATAGGTTACCTAGTGCCTGACCTGTAGCTGGTACGAATACACCTCACTACCAGACGCCTTTCTTACTTTCCATAGATGAACATAGATCATGCCTGTGCCTTGGGTAAAAGCAATGAGTGGTTACAAAGATCATTTTTTTCTGCTAATTTTAAGGTTAGTTTTGCTTGACTGGCACATTTGTGAAATGATGCCAAAAGGCATTTACCAATATAAACTATATCTCTTGCCTGCAGCCTGGATTTAAAGATGGGAGATTACAGAAATATGCATGCAGGCAGTTCTGCCTACCTGTGCCTGCAGGTGTTTCTTCTTTCCTCAATGAACTTACCATGTGCTGGTAGATAGTGAAAAAATAAGCATGTGTATGACTGGCTTTTTACTCTTTGGGAACTGGTGAAAGCTAAATGCCATTTCTATATAGGAGACCACCACATTTTATATAAAAATTATATATGTTATAAAAAGGATTTATATATTTATGTATACAAGAGCTGGGATGCAGGCCGGAGGTAAAGCGGGGGAGAGGGGGAGGATTTACCAGAGACATTGGGGAGCAGAACAGGTGGCTCGACTCATGTTGAGGGCAGCAGCGGTAAGAGTCCACCTGTGTACCATGTTGGTCAGCTCCCTGGACAGAGACTGAACTGTTGCACAGCTGCCAAGACAATGGCACAGCTTGAAACAAAAACCCAGGACTCTAGTGTCAAGTCAGCAACTGGCAAGAAATGTAACATTTTTTTCAATTTCATCTCATGTTTACATACTACATGCTTTCCCCGTAGTTCAGAAGTTTGATCATTATAAAGTCATAGGCTCTTGGGGTTCTGCAGTCACAGGGCTCCCTGGAGAAATCTATGCAAATGCTGAGGAACCCAGGTGACCAACAGCAGCCAAGCACGGTCTTGGGTGTTGGGTCTTGCCTTGAGCCTGGAGTGGTAGGTATCCACATGCATGAATTTGTTTTATCTCACAAGTCTGAGGAGGCTGAGACTAGTATTACCATTTTACAGGAAACAGCCAAGTTCTAACAGGTTAAGAAGCAGGCGCTCATCTAAGCAGCGGTCTTCAGCCTCCCAGCACTTGGCCACTATCCCTTACTGTACTGCTTTCCAAGTGCCAGGTCAAAGTGGTGAGTTTAGATGCAGTAAGGTTTGGAGTGGTGACAGCTGAGAGACAGAATTTGGCTTTTATTCAAAAAAATCCTAGGAAACTAGTTTCCTGACTGGCATTAATTACTTATAATGGTTTGTGAGATACAGAAATACATTAAATGATACTCCACTGGGAATTCCAACTTGGGGCAATGATTTGTTACTTAAATAGGGAATTGGGCAGAAAATATTTCAACTTTTGTTCTTGGAAATGTGACATTTTTCTAAGGTGTAATGAAATTAATGACTGAAAGACTCAATCCATCTCATTACTATCTTACATCTACAAAACAGTCTATGAAGTGCTTTTGCAGTTAAGTCTCCAGAGTCTGTGTTGCTAAAGGAATTAGGTGTCTTTGCATTCCTCTTAATGTAAATGAGCTATCCTAGATGACTTATTTATATCCCTCTGCTGCTCAGGTTAATGGAGTTTAAGAGAGAAAGCCCCTTTGTGGTAAGCATGTCAAACCTGCAGCACCTCATACTAATAGCTAAAGTGACTTAATTTTCCCCTAAGTGGGCAACACTCCCTCAGCCCCATGGTACGGCTTTGCCTTTCCCTTCTCTCTTCCCATCGGTTGGCCAGTAGAAACTGCTTGCTTTCCCTTAACAGGTGACACAGTGCTGTGAAGAAGGAACTGACTGGACTTCCACAGGAACCTCTGATTGCTTACAGAGGGCACTCAATAATAATCTGATACAATATTCCCTTAAAGATCAAAGCATATTGAAAAGATGCGCAAAGACAACTTAACTTTAACATTTTATTTTGTGTAAAAAAGGGCAAATTTAGTGAATTACTTTCATCTTGTACACAAAGTTATAATTTTAATGCTTTTCACATCCATGCTGAAAATTTGCAATTTGGTAAAAATGAAAGGAACATAAATTTTTCCAAAGGAATTTTTCACGCCTTATATACACTTCATGAGAAAGTTTCAAAGACTTTCTCAATGATCACAAGTTACCAAGAAAATAAAAGATTAAATTTGTACAGATATTGTTCTATATATCAAATACATACAGAAATGATGTAAAAATCTTATGCAGTTTACTTTGACCTCTGTCCTCAAAAGAGTTGCCCAGGGACAGATGCTTTTCATTTGTATAAATGACTGTGGCTTTATTTAAAATATGAAAATCAAAGGAAGAAACCCAGTTTAATCACAGTATTTTTAAAATCCCTTCCCAATAGTAAAGGATCATTACCAAATATATAGCACCATAATACAAATATTGATGGGAAAGGGTATTCACATCACACAAAATAATAATAAAAACAAACAAACACTGAAAACCCGTGTTAGTATCCGTAGAATAAGAAGTTGATAACAGCTTTAGCTTTCCTCATACATAGCAAGGAAAAGGTTAAAGAGTTTAAACTATCAAAAAAAAAAAAACAAAAAACAAAAAACAAAAAAAAAAACACCCAAAATGTCCTAACAGGAAAAAACCAACCAACCCAAGGTCAGCAGTACATTTTGAATAACCGTAAGAGAACGGGGCTGCTGCT